CCCCGTTTCTGGGGAAAGGGAAGGGGGGGGGGGGGGGGGGGGGGGGGGCAGCTCTGGCTGGGCTCAGCACTGGGACACCCTTGCCTGTCTCTGCCCAGCCGGCAGCTTCCGCCTCCCATCACCCAGGCTTAAGGGGGCAAACGGAGCCCCCTCTGGCTGCCTCCGTTTCCCAATGGCCACTGGAGGGAGGGGAGACCGGCGGGAGGGGACGTCAACACAGCCCCCTGGCCTAAATAGTGGCCCCCTCACAGATGCCAGGCTTCCAACTCTCTGGCTGGGGGCCAGGCCCACCGCTGCCGCCTCCTTAACCTCGCCTGGCCTGCCAGTCACGCTGGGCTCAGGTGGCTTCACCCACCCAGGTTTGGCAGGGGGGGCTCTGGGCTTCCTGCTGGAAGTGCCAATGGGCACCTGGGAGCCTGTCTTGCCTTCCCACCAGGGGTCAGAGGGGGGGAGGGAGGAACACCCTGGAAGGAAGGCCAGAGGAGGGGCCCAGCCTGCATCAGTTCCCCCCCCCAGGGAACAATTCCACAAGGCCAAAAAACCCCTTTTTAAGGCCCTGCAAAGGAAACACTGAGAGCGAAGAGGCTCTGGAAGGTCTTCATTGCAGGAGGAGCTACCCCAAGGCCAGGCAGGCAAGGAAGGGGGCTGAGGGGCTTGGGGAGGGATGGGGGAGGGAGGCAGGAGGGGAAAGAAGGGGGGGGAAGGAGGACTCCTTCTCCTTGTGGGACAAAGCCCCGAGCGATGGCATCGGTGGCAGCCTTGCCAAGGTGGGCTAAGCCAGGGGGAAGCAAGGGGGGCCTTCCAAAGCCCTTCCGCCTGACTAGGCTCCTCCTGTGGGATCCCCATTTAAGCCTCTTCTCAGCTGGGTCAAGGAGTCCCTCCCCCTGCCAGTGTCCCTCCTCCCACCAGGTGCTTATTCACCCCCCCCTCCCAGGCAGGCCAGGAGAGGGAGGGGGGGCAGAGGGAGAGGCAGACAGAAAAGCCGGTCTGGGCAGGTCCACCCTCCACAGAGAAAGAGGCCCCACCCTCCACATCTCCCTGCGGGTGGGGAGCCTCAGCTAGCTGAAAGGCCCCAGTCCCAACAGCAGCAGCAGCCAGGAGGGAGCCGGCCGGCCCACCTGCCACAGCCGCCCCCTGTCTGGCTCCCCTGCTGCCCACGGGGCCCCTTGGAGCTCCACTGGGCCCTCCCAAGGCCCACTACAGGACCGGAGCCCCCAGGTGGCCCAGCAGGGAGGCCGGTCCCCACGGCCAGACCACTGCAGGAGACTCACCTTCCCCCCCCACCCCACGGCTGCACGAGACGGGTGCTGGGACGCCCTTTGCCCGCTCTGGGCTTGGCGGTGGCCCTGGGGAGGGCAGCCCCCCCCCTCCCCGCCAGCCTGGCTCAGAGGGCGGCAGGGCCTGCCGGGTGGGTCCAGGGGGGAGGCTGGCAGCGTGGGCAAGCGTGGAAGGGGAGATTGTGATTCAATGAAGGCCAACACGCCGCACTCAACAAGTTCTCCCTAGCAACAAGCGGGCAAGGTGGCAGGAGGGAGCCCAGCACCCAGAGCCTTCCCAGGCGGACGGAGAGGCCG